CAGAGAACACCCAGGAGCTCAGGTTTCCTCCCTTCTCTGGGATCACAGTTGGGCTGAGTAGTCTTTCCTCCTCCTCTTGTGCTCCAGTTTTTCCAGCAACACAAAGTTTGCGATTTTGAATTTTTGAAAGGGTTAACCCATTTTCTTGACTCATTATGTCTGTTTCCCTTTCATCTTTCTGGGATGACTGGCCAAGTGGAGAATTAGATGGTTGCCCTGCAGTAGGAAAAAGCCCTTCTCCCTTCTTCTATCTGTAACCTTTTACAGACAGTAGTGTGAACTTCAGGGAAGACAATCTTGAATTTAGTGGCCCCTGTCATGGAGCCTTAAAGCAAACAGGAAATAAGATACCTAACTTAAAGTAGGAAGCTTCCTTTAACTGGTATAAAGAAGCTTAGAAAAGGAACAATTCAAGAGATTCCACTCTATGGAGGCCTCTCTTAAAACAACTTCAGCCTTCTCCCTCCCCAAAGACCTGTTCCTTTCTAACTTTGTGTTTTTGCCCCTTAAAGTGCCACTCCCTTCTGGCCTCCCCTCCATTTTGCCCCCAGCCTCCATCCTGACTTTTTCTCCTTTTTTTTCCCAGCTTCTTTTCACCTTTAGGGTAAGACATTCACTCCCTCCCTTCCAAATAATGAAATAATTGGAGGTAGAAGAAAGTCTTTTAAAGGCAATTCCTGAAAGATTCCCCCTAAGATTTACTGGCAAATAATCCAACCCTGTCAACAAGTTAATCTGTTTTTCAACTTTAGGCATCAATTAGAAACCACTTTTAGGAAATACTCAGGGTTTGGCCTTTCCATTAACACAACCAGAGGCAATCCTGACCTAAACAGATGTTATTCTGAAGCATAATGTAGGCTGGCAGACCATCTAGCCCAGCATTTTGAGCAAACCATAATAAACAAAAAGAAGGGGACGGTACGGCTCAGTGGTAGAGTGGTTGCTTAGCACGTATGAGGTCCTGGGTCCGATCCCCAGTACCTCCATTAAAATAAATAAATAGACCTAATCATTCCCCCAACAAAATTTTTAAAATTTAAAGAAGTGAAACCTTAAAAAAAAAAAAAGAAAGAAAGAAAGAAAGAAAACCACATACTTCAAAATTATGGCACTGCAATTTAAAACAGCTTGACAGACAAAATACAGGTAAGCAAGGATACTTGAATATATTGTAAAGAAAAAGGCTACTGTGTCCACAATTGTCTTTTTTTCAGCCAGGAAACAAGCCACACAATAGGCTGCTCAATCAGAAAGAAAATAACTCCTCTCTGAGGAAGGCCTCTTCCAGTGACCGAATTGTCTTTGGATTGACAAGGAGAAATAAGTATATTAGTAAATGGCTATCCAATCTTGTTTTTAGTAGACATTGGAGTCACACTCCCCACTGATCATCTCTCCCAATTTCCCACCACCCTTCTGCAGAGCAATAAAAATATAAAATAGATAACAAGTTTCTACTGTATACCACAGGGAACTATATTCAGTATCTTGTGATAACCTATAACGAAAAAGAATATGAAAAGGAATATATATATGTATATGGATGACTGAAACACTATGCTGTACACCAGAAATTGACACAACGTTGTAAACTGACTACACTTCAATTAAAGCAAAAAGGTCTTGGTGTTGAGACTTACCAAACACATTATCTCTTCCTCATCTTTCTCTTCCTTTCCCACTTTGCCTATTTCCTTGGGAATATTAACTTCTCAATGAGACTTCCTCCTATTTTCACCTTCAATAATTTATTAGGATGAGATTTTTTTGCTCAATTGGTAACTATTATTAGGTGCACATCCAAAAGACTTTTTCTTGATATCCTAGACTCTGACAGTCAAATTGACCATATTACGTAGTTCCAGTTAACTACTCTAGGCTCTTGTGTCTTCCACCTTAGAATTACCTAAATTTTCTAATTTACTTTCTTTAATACCTAATTTCCTCTGGGCTACCTCATCTACAGATTTGGGAAAAATAAATATAGAACTTTAATGAGTCAATATAAAACCCATGCTTCCTCTCCTTATATTCCTTTAGGAACCCTAAAATCTGAAACATTAGGAGAACTATCCCTTTGATTCCTCACTCCCTACACAGGATGGCTGATCTGAAATTAGACCACCCTTAACATTATTCAACAAAATTCCAGCCATAGGCGCCTGTCCTATAGAAGTCCTTAGGATTAGGCTCATTTTTTCTTTCTTTTCTGGACATCAGAGGACCCTCTTGCCAGTAGGCCATCTCACTCAGGGACTTCCCTTCCTTTGCAAATTCCTGAAAAAGGAATAAACCTTTGAATGACTTACAACCAGTGGCTTCTGTGTGGAGTGTTTTGACATCTGATATCATGTAATGAAAGAGAACAGAAGATCCAGCAAGGAGCAAGGGTAACACATTTATAGTTATCATAACCTTAATTCAGTTTCCAGAGGAGGGAACTGTTTAACATTTAACATTATCACAAGAACGTTTCCTACTTCACTTGGATATCCTCTATAAGACACAAACTTAGAATTCTTTGTAAATGGGTAAACTCTTAAGGGTGAACAAGGAGATTTTCAAGCTGGATAGGCTTTTACCACTTTCCAAGAGTTTACTGAATCTAATTCCTTTCCTTAAATCAAATCAGCACAACTAGCTAAACTAATTTGACTAGAGCCCCTCAGATAGCAAAGGATAAAAGGGCTAACACGCAGAGACAGCAGCTGTGCTTCTGGTGTGTCTCGTGATACTATGGAAGGAATGTGGTTTCTTAACTGCTGCTGCTGTTCTCATTAATTACAGCGAGCAAGTTTGACTTTTAATAAATGCCTTGCTTCTGCCCCCCAAATTGACTATACTTAACACTGAAGCTCATATTAGAGAACAAACCCATATGGGAAAAGGAAATGTTTCAGCTGACCACTATGTTAACCAAGGTACTCTTAACCAAATTCACCTAGGTGAACAAATTAAAGATGATCTGGTTCATCCAGATCATTTTATGAAGTTTTGAGCTAAGTAAAATCACAACAATCAGCATCTGAAAAGATATTTGGAGCAATCTGGATGTGGTCTTCACTTCTGTATAAAGAGATTAGCAAGATGACCACTTGACCTCTTTGGACCCTCTGAAATGCAACTTGGTGAAAAATGTGCACCCAATGACCCATCACAGTGAAGAAAACTTAAAAACTATTCTGGAACAACATTAATGGGGACATTTTAATTAATTTAATTAGGCAGCAGAGCAGAGCCTCCAGTGTACGTCCCACCTACCAAACTCATAACTCTGGAAAAATTGTAAAAGTGGTACATAGGTAGGAACCACAAGGGAGCCTTTGAACACTTTCAAATAGACTTTATATAACACCCTGCATCACAAAGCTTTGAAAATGAATTTATTTTTGTTTACCTCTTCTCTAGATGGTGAAAGGCTTTCCAAACTTGGAAATTGCTGTTATTGTGGCTTAAAATGATTAGATTTTTTTGCTCCTACTTAGGGAATCCCTACTTAACTTTGTAGTGAAGAGCTACTCATTTTACTGGGACTGTAATTAAGGAATTTTGTAAAGTGTTGCCTGTTGGCCAAAAATTATACTGTCCCATCTTCAATCTTCAGGAAAAAATCAAAAGAGCTAATAATCCTTTAAAATTAAAATTTGCTAAACTCTCTGAAGACATAAAACTACGTTGGCCTAAACTACTCCCCATAGACCTTAACAGCAAACAGAGTCTAACCTTACGGATTTGTCATAGGCAGACCAAGGAAACTGGGCACTACATCCCTATTTGTAACTCTATTTTTGTTGCCAGCAATATGGCCCCATAATGTAAAGGACTAATGGGATATACTCAGAATTATCGTCAACAGGGTCAAGTTGCCTTTCTAAAGAAGCCACCTTCTTAACTTAAAACCAGGTGATTTAGTCTACTGGAATAGACACGAACAAAAATACTGCCCTGGAGCCCCACTAGAAGGACACCTACCAGGTCCTTAGCACTAACAGGGCAGACAAGCTACAACGTATATACAGATCTTCTGATCCTCATGTCCCAGCTGAAGAGACATCCACCTCTGAGTAACTCAACTTGTACTTTAACCAGAGTCCCTAAAATGAGGTTTCTCAAAATTTTTCTGAAGCGCATAAATGGCACAGAGACAGCTTTCCCATAAAAACTGGAAAAAGCAGATGAAGTCAGATCGTGAGCAGCTTCTGCCCAGAACAATGAAACAAAAGCTCTGCCTCAAATTTAGTCTCTACCCCGTCGCCTTTCTTTCTTTCTTTCTTTTTTTTTTAAAGTTACAGGCACGTATATTATCCTCTGGAACACCGAGGTCTTCCCTTCCCCTGCAGTGTCATGGGAGGGCCAACTCAGAAGGCGGCCACGCTGCCACCCGAAGCAGGCTTTTGGGGCGGCTGGGTCCTGAGAGGCAGGAGCAGCGCCTTCAACTTACCCGACAGGCTGGTAATCTCGGGATCCTGGGCTTCATAAGACTTGCCCAAGCGGGCAAGCTTAAGGACACCTTCCCCGTCGCAGCTGAAGCCATAGACTTTGATAACCTCCAGCTGAATCTGCGTGGCCACGGGCAGCACGAAATTGCAGCATCTTGCCCATGTCGTTGCAGACGCTGTCCCGAGCCTCGTCCATGCGTATAGCGTCCTTCGGAGCGGAGAACGCCTGGACCACCTAGGCCAGGACTACCTTGGCCTGTTCGGTGCTCAGGGCCGCGGCTTGGGCAGAGGTGGACGCCATGGGACATAAGATGTAAGTGCCGCAGTGCCAGGGAAACGCTCAGGGGAAGCGAACCGCCTCCTACAGAGGATCTCCAGGCGGGTAGGGGCTGAGGGGAAGCCGCCTCAGGCTGAAGCGGGAAGCCGGAAGTCCCCCGGTGGAGTCCTCCCCCCCCTTAAACTCCCAGGAGCGAGTTAGACTTCCAACACCTAACCAGCCTGGTAGCTGGAGACCATCTCGCACCAACCAGAGTTACCCTGTTGCTGAGAGCGACTTGCGTGGGTTTTTTTCCGGTGTGGACCCGAAAACCTGCCAAACAAATTCTAAAACAGCTGTAACACTAGTCTCTCCCATTTTATCCTAATCTTGAATTTGTACATCTCTAAAATTAGTTCCAAGTGCTGATCATAGAAATGCTCCCTATTCTTACTCTGCTATTTCTACTCTGTCCTGCCACTTCTCCCTTTCTCCATTCCTCAATTTCAAAGTCTTTGGCTTTTTTTTTTTTTTCCTGGCTGACATTGTTATGAAGCTAATATCACCTGTCACTGTTGCTTCTGCTTACTTTTTCCCATCAGCTCCATCACTCCTTTACAGTTCCCTATCCAAGGAGATCTCTCTGCCTTTTCCACTGCCTTTTGGCACATGGCCTCATCCAAACTGAGTCTTCAATAAATCTCTGAAGTTTACACATCCTACCCAGTATACCCTTGAAGAGGGAGACCCTGTTATTTATTTATTTATTTATTTATGAAAAACTTTTTTTTTTTAATCTTCAATCCATGGGCCTAAATGACTACAATGAAATCTGCCAGGTTATTACTGGTCTAGCTGAAAGTGGATATCGTTGGGCCAGCCCCAATATTAGCTTCATTTAGGCAAGCAACAACTATAAAACTGAGTTTTTTCCCCCAGCCCCGGAGTGATTCATGATTCAAATTTTACTGGTGGGTCCAATGCTTTTTTTTTTTTATGCCAGCCAGTGGCAGGTTGTCATCTCACTCATCACTTTTCCTTGTTCTAACTGTACTGCTGCACTGAGTTTGAACAATTATTGCCTCTTTAGATCAGAGGTCAAATCCCTGCTTCTCAACCAGAGGGGCAATCTGTGGGGATAAACACACTCCTCTATAAAGCACCCATTCTTACCAGGTAGTAGAGAGACCTGCTGGAAGAAACAAAAAGACCTGGAATCAGTCCAGATAGATTTGTTGCTGCCACGGATGGGTTTTATGCTGGAGCTCTTCCTGAAGGAGCAACCCTATTGACTACTGGAGAAGTTTAACATAATACCCAATTAAGAAATATGAATTATACACACATGCCCAGAGAACAGCTAAGACACTGGAATAGTCCAAGCTTAATACAAGAAACTATATATTTTAAAAATTGAATTTACTATTTTTTCCTTTCATTTGTGAGGTAAGCATGTTCTTCTTCCCATTTAGATAAGAGTTTAACTGTCACTTCTTCTGGCCTAAGCTATGTTGTTTAAGTTACCTAAACTTAATTACAAAATATATATGAAATCCTAGTAACAGATTTTTGAATGAAGCATACCAAGGAAATATAGTTCAAAACACAACTTCCTTACTTTAAAAAATCATTTGTTAAGAATAGCATTTACTGAGTGCCATCCATTAACTGGCCTTTTTAAAATTAGATCATAAGTTTGAGATAGCAAATACCTTATTTCTTTAAAAATCTTTTTAGCTAAATAACTTCATTATGAAAAAAACCAAAACTATCTTTCATACTTAACAGCAATTTTTACTATTATTTGTTATTATGAAATCTGAAACTGTTCTGTATCGCCAAAAGTGACGTCTTTAACATTTTAAAAAGAAAAAAACCTTTACAGATTTTTTTTTCTGACCTACTTTTGTTTTTGAGCAACAGCATGGATTTAATATAAGATACTAACAATAAAAAAGGAGATTTTACTCTTTTTAAAAACGTTTACATGTCATAGTCTCTGTTCTTATTCCCTTTCTCTCCAACTCCCTTCCTAAAACAATCTGCCTCATTTTAGGTCAATGCAAAATATATTTTTAAAATTTCCCTTTGTTATTTTCCATTTTATACTGTGGTATTCTGTGAAGCTATTCATGAAATAATCTGGTATTTGTAGCTATTGGGATAGTTCATATTTTTACCTTATGTTCATTTTTTGCTAAATAAGAATTTTAAAATCCAAATTACATTTCCTTGTGAAATTACTGGGTAATTGATGATTAAAATCCAAATATTATAGTTCTGAAATGTAATATACTGGTGTCATTTTGCACTGTTTACAGTAAAGAAAAAAATATGAAGATAAAAATATGAAAGTTAAAACTGATTTAAATTATTTTCAGTGTAATTTTGCCTTACTCTGACTACATCCTATGAAAATACTATGTTTTAATTCTTTTTCTTTACCCTCATTTAAAATTTTCCTGTTCTATATTCTGTATTTAAAATGTAAATAAGCACACACCAGTAATTTGCATGGTAAAGTATAAATTTATTTTTCTTTTAAACATTTTTTATTCTCATTTTCTCCCATGCTATGTTTTTCACTGTTTGGAACTTTCTGCAAGTGGGAATTTCATCTTATACCAGTCAAATACTGGGAGTGCTGTTAGCTCTCAGGGCAGTATCTTGAGCTTGGCTAGATTGCAGAATACAGATGAATTCATCAATTTTGGCACGGAGAAACTCAGGATATTTGAGCATGTAAAGCATTTCAGCATCATCCATCTCCAAGAGTATGCCAGAGATTTCTCCAGTTGGAGTTAGGTGAATGGACTGAATCAGAGGAACCAGCTTTTCATCCAAGAGCTTCTTCTGAGTAGCAGCTGATGCCAATATAGACACATTCAACATATCATAACCTTGTGTACAAACAGGGACAGGCTTTTGGGTGGATGCTGGCCTTCCTACTTTAAATTTTAGAGGACTGTGAACACCTGCAGCACCTGCAACTTTTTCGAATCTCTGACTTGCACGTGGTCCCAAGGCAGAAGTTTGAGGGTGAACAGCCAGGGTCTGGGTTGTTGTATTAGTGACCTGAAAGGCTGACTTGACTCCCTGCACTTGTGATGGGTTGGAGGTGCTGACTGATGGCTTAGGTGCTGCTGCTGAGTGGATAGAATAACGCATGTTTTGAGATGAATGACATTTGGTCTTGTTGACCACAGGCTTGCAAAGATGTGCACTTCCACGTTGAGGCTGAGGAACTGCTGGCATGCTGTTACCTGATGATGATGATGCTACCATCTTGTCAGTGTTGAATGTAGGATAACCTCTATCTTTTAGAGCCACCATTCTCTTCATATAGTTCTTGGTGAGGCGAGCCTGACGTTCCTCCTTACTTTGTGCATTAGCCACGTACAGGGGTTTGGTGATCACAGTTTTTCCATTCATTGCCCTGATAGCTTTATTAGCTTCCTCATGAGATGTGTAACAAACAAAGCCAAGGCCTTTGCTGCGGCTTGCCTCCATCATGACCCTGGAATTCGTGATTGTGCCAAAGAGGGAGAATTCTTTTCTCAGCCATTTACTGTCAATACCATCTTCAAGATTTTTCACATAAAGGGTAGCACCCTTGCACCTGGTAAGTTTACCCTGTTTCATTTGCTCAAATTTGTGTTTTAATTCAGATTGTCTCTCTGCTTTGTTCTGTGCTCTACCAACATAAAGTTGATTTCCATTAAGGACTTTTCCATTCACTCCTTCAATGGCTTTCTGGGCATCTTCAAAATTCTCAAAACTCACAAATCCAAAGCCTTTGGATTTTCCACTTTCATCAGTCATAACTCTCATGTTTAATACAGAACCAAATTCACCAAAAATCTCTTTAAGACATTTATCATCTACATCATCTCCAAAATTCTTGATGTAGACATTTGCAAATATGTTTGCTTTAGCTCTGAGTTCAGTTTCCCTTTCTTTGCGAGGTTTAAACTGCCCAACAAAAACTCGGCTACCTTTCAGCACAATCCCATTCATCTTTGCAATGGCTCTACTAGCGGCTTCTGATTTCTCAAAATGCACAAATCCGAAACCTCTTGATCCATTTTCATCGGATACCACTTTACAAGAAAGAATGTTTCCAAAGGCAGAAAATGTATCGTAAAGGGACTTATTATCAATAGACTTGGCAAGGTTTTTGATGAATATATTGCCCACTCCGCTCTTTCGAAGTGATGGGTCACGCTGGGACCACATAATACGCAGCGGCTTGCCATTGATAATATCAAAGTTCATAGTGTTCAGAGCCCTCTCAGTATCCGCGTGCAGCAAGAAGTTCACATATGCGTAGCCCAGGGAGCGGCGAGTGACCAGATCACGGCAGACCCTAATGGACAGGATCCGCCCGGCAGTGCGGAACTTCTCATACAGCATTGCCTCGTTCACTTCGGGATGTAGGCCTCCGACATACAGTGAGGACATCTCAAAGTGTGGAACCGAAGCACTCATCTTAAATCAGATCTTGAGTGAGATCTCAGCGAGGCTCAAGGACTTGGCCTCTATCAGTGGGAGGCAGAGTCAATCAAAAGAGGAATGGAGGCCAGGAGTGCTCGGCTGGGCCGCCACCGCTGTCGCAGAGGAGGCACAGCCAGACCGGGGCCAGCCCACAGCGGGCGGAAACTGAAGACCAGGGTTCTGGTGAGCGGCTAACCTCGCCCATAGACTCTCAGCCTGTCCAATTGTGACATAGCCTGTGCTTGTCTGACTTCATGTGCGCAAGCGCCTTGC